CACAGTGCCAAAACCACTGGTATTACTGACCATGGTGTTACTGTGCTCAATTGGCCTGCCAACTCTCCTGACCTGAACCCCATAGAGAATCTGTGGGATATTGTGAAGAGAAAGTTGAGAGACGCAAGACCCAAAACTCTGGATGAGCTTAAAGCCGCTATCGAAGCATCCTGGGCCTCCATAACACCTCAGCAGAGCCACAGGCTGATTGCCTCCATGCCACGCCGCACTGAAGGCTGCAAAAGGATTCCTGACCAAGTATTGAATGCATAACTTAACATAATTATTTGAAGGTTAACTTTTTGGGTAGCCTATTAAAACACATTTCTTTTATTGGTCGGATGAAATATGCTAATTTTTTTGAGACAGGGATTTTGGGTTTTCATGAGCTGTTTGCCAAAATCATCAGTATTAAAACAATAAAAGACCAGAAATATTTCAGTTGGTGTGCAATGAATCTAAAATATATGACCGTTTAATTTTTATCATTACATTATGGAAAATGATGAACTTTATCACAATATGCTAATTTTTTGAGAAGGACCTGTATAGTTAACATGATCATTTAAACAGCCCTTGTTTAGATTTTGACTTAGCCCTTTCAAAGCTCTGATTTGTCTAATTTGTAATCATTATATTGCAGTCACTGACATTTCTTTTTTTTAAAATCACTGTTCCTGATACATGTATAACAAAAATAAATGTCATCTTTTAAATCGTTAAGGTGTGCTACAGTTAATGGAATAGACTTAAATTATTCACACATTTGAAAGAAAGCCCTTATTAATGTTTCCACTAATTGTTTAATCAGAATATAAAGAAACAATGTGGTTCAAATAGACAGTTTGCTCATCCAGTTTTCATAAGTTGTAAATGACACTTTAATTCAGATGATCTGGTTCAGTTTTTATTTCCTTATTTAAAATTACATTACAGCAAAAAACAAACAAACAAACAAAAAATATATATATATATATATATATATATATATATATATATATATATATATATATATATATATATATATATATATATATATATATATATATATATAAAACAGCTTGTGGTTGTTGTAGAAATCAAATGGCACATTTAACAAAACTGTGATCAACTTTGTTATTTTACAAATTTATAATTTTCATAATTTAATTTTTGATATAGATGTTCGTTTATTGTGCTCATGTCACAGATCGTAATAAAAAATCATATTTGATGCCTACATGGTGAAAAGTAAATGACCACTAAAGGTTGTGTGGTGACCTGCAGTGTCAGCAACCCATGAATTGGCCCTCATTCTTAAAAATACAACATCTCCAATTTCTAACAGCAGTGAGACGCCATTAGAAGCTTTCTGACCACCAGCAGGCTGAGATGTCCATGCTGTAAAGATTTGCTGTCTGTTCTTGACCAACTCAGCAGATGTAGGATTATTAGAACCATGTCCATATATGTGGAACTCAAAGTGATACACTCCTCTTACTGGTGCAGTGAACAGCCCTGTGAAGAATCATTAGCAGAATTAGAAACATTTCCTAACTTTACTTTCAGAACAAATTTACCAAATTTTTGTTATGATTGTAAACATACATAAATTAAAAACACAAGGAGTAAATTGCAGCACCTGTATTTGGGTTGTAGGCATTTCCAATATTAGTAACAACATGTTTGAAGATCAGATTTATATGTGTGTTGAACGGTCCGGTGTGTCCTTGACCCGTTGCCAACAAAGAGGCAGAGAAAGCCAGATGTTTGGCTGAGAGACAGACAGACAGACAGACAGACATGGGATATCAAATGCAGTTATACAGCAGAGAAAAGTATGAAACATTGTAACATTTTCCACAGAACATTGTTTTTTGTGGCAACAAGAAACTTGGATTTATCAGTCAGGCTACTGACTAATAAATCCAAGTAATTCACATATAACAAAAAATGGCAAAATAACTTCGTTATATCTCATTTTCATTCAAGAACTGATCAGATTTAATATCTAACCTTGGTTCTGTTCCTGCAGCTTTTTTACCTGAGTTTCTTGTACTAAAGAAAAGCAAAGAAAAGAAAAGAAAAATAATGTTTTAGTTAATTCAGTCATATATTCAAAATCATCTTTATTTATAACTTTTGCTCTAATAAAATCAGTACCTTGGTACCGTTTGTTCAGGGATTGCAGCTCCGTCGTTTTCACTGATAATGATAATAAATAATTCAAACTCTGAACTGTAATGATCATTTGATCAATAAGGATCAGTTGATTCAAACACTGTAACTCTGTAAACATACCTTCATTGTCTCTCTGTAGTTGCTGCACCTCCACCTTCAGTGCAGCCACCCAGGCGCTCATCTCTCTCAGAACAGCATTGATGTCCTGTGTGAAGGTCTGCTGCTCAGTCAGACGCTCTGTTTCTCCCACTTGTCCGTCACTTTGCCTTTTATGTGACAGAATGTCATTGTCAGACTGAGCTTGCAGCTCAGCTGTAGAGACAGAGCAGACTAGCAGCAGCAACGGAAGAAACATTTTCATTTCCATCCTCAGTGTCTCTGGAGGTCCACTCTGCTGTTGGAGACTTAAAAAGGAATAGAGATTTTTGTTACTGATTAATTATTACCATACTGTTACCAGAAATGAGATGATAAGACTTGATACTTTAGACTTGACCTATACAAATTATAATCTAGGATCATAAAGGATATTATAACCTGTTTGTAGGAACGTGATTCTGAATGTTTATTTTAAAAGTTCATCTGGTGGGAAAATAACTTGTTAAAGTTCAAGGGTTTTAAATTTTTGTTTCAACTTAAATGATAATAAATATTTGATTAATAATTCATAGGAAGCTAAATAAAAACAATTGAAAGACAATGTATACATTTTATTTCTTATTAAATTCATATATTGAGCATGTAGACGAAATGCTTTTAATTTAATAAGTGTCAACAAATTATGATAAATAATTTAGATGAGATTTTACTAAAAGATCAAAGATTTCACTATAAAAGGTTAGAATCAGGTCACTTACCACATGTTGTTCACATGATTCAAATGAAATATTATAGTTTGTCTGCTGAGGTATAAATATTTTAGGAATAAACCCGGGACTGAAATTCAGTCCAAAACCCACAAACTCATTTGAAATAAATAAATAAATAAATAAAATTTTACTAAAACATGCTCATCAATATTCAAATCATATTTTCATTTGAGAAAATCTCTTGTGAGTTAAACTGTTGTAAATTTAATTGCTTTCAGTTTATGGGATGGAAACAGGAAACTAAATCTGAATTATCAGATTATCTGTTATTGATAACGCCACCTACTGGTATGTTTGTTTACCTTTCAACTCTTGACCTAATTAGTTTGTAATCTGTGAGAACAGTCCATTAGCCTGAACTCCAATGGCTTCACAATTTAATGTATAAAAACAAACAAAGTGTGAAAGTTACAAACCTTCTATATGCAGTGAAAATGTCGCAAACTTTTTCTGTGGAGAAAAACAAACAGTAAAGCACTGAAATCTGACTCCATTCAGTCAGATTTTAATTTTCAATTGTTTCAACTTAAAAGGTGAAACTGTACCACATTTATTCTCATTCAGTTAACACCCACACACTGTGCAGCTGTGTGAGGAAGTAAAGTTTTCAGAGTCACTGATTGATTTATGGGGGGCCGTTTAGGACAAAAACTGTCTTGTCTCACACACACTACTAAAGACTCATACACACAAAAAGCACAAAGATATACTATTCTGAATGATAGGTCGAAAATGTTTGTGTGAACTAACAGGATGAATGAATGAATGAATGAATGAATGAATGAATGAATGAATGAATGAATGAATGAATGAATGAATGAATGAATGAACGAATGGGATGAGATTCTTATTTGTCTTTGTAATAGTTGTCACAGAAGAGACGAGGTATAATTTGGATATGAGATTGCGCATGCGTTGATACCGCATTGAAGTTAGTTTCAAATTGGATATAGAGCTCTGGAACCAACGTCACTGCGTAACATTTACGTCTCACGCAGTCGCTTGGCGACATCTTTAAAGGCCACAGACCGAAACAAACTTTATTCCAGTGTCTTTGTTGTATTACTGACCACAGTGAGGTTGTTTTCAGGTTGGATCCACAAAGTAAGCGGTGTTTAGCTAAAGGTTGATCCAATTTATGAACACTAATTTCATCCAGCTGTTCTCTATTGCTCCCTCCTCAAGCACTCGGAGGTTCACTTAGGGACTGTCAAAAAAATTAACTAACCAAACACTCCTGACGAACAAATGTAAAATAAATGGCTTGCCTTGTACCCAACTGACACAAAAAGTGGCAATTCATGCTATTACATGAGACATACCATTGACTGAAAATCTGTGTGAGGTTGAAAATAATTATTGAAAATAAAAAAAAAATGACCTAAAATGGAATAAAAATTAGTGTACCTCATCTATCCAGTCTAGTAGAATAATTTCATGCTGATTTTGACTCAATAGGTCACATGACCTAGATGCTATTGAAGAAAAATATTAATTTTGACTAAAAATACAGATAAAAAATATGTAAAAAAGGTTAAAATGGAATAAGGATGAGTGTACCTCATCTATACAGTCTAGTAGAACATTTTCACACTGATTTGGAGTTAATGGGGCACACGATTTGGAAGCTACTGAAGAAAGCATTATATTCTTTATCGTCCTTAAGTCACAGGGCTAATGCAATGCAGTATTCCAGGAACACAGGTGCAGATGCTGTCATCTTTCATGCACACAGCAGTCGCCGAACCTGGTGACATCAGGAATAATGCTGCTGCAACGGCGCCGACCTTCAGGTAATGAGCTGCCATGATGCTGTCGCCCTTCAGACACAGAGCTTCTAGAACGAAGTCGGCTTCTAGATAAAAAACTGCCATGGTGTGTCTGAAGGCCGACGTTACAGCAGCTCTGTACCTAGCGGCATGCTGTCCTCTTGAAGGCACAGGGCTGCTGCGACGCCATTGTCCTGCAGGTAAACACTCGTCTCAGGAGCTTGGTACTTGGATGAAAGTGTTGTAGCTCCCATCAACATTTATGATGTTTTTAATATTTAAAAACATCATAAATGTTCTTGTTTATTTAAGTAATAAACAAGAACAGTTTATTACTTAAAATTTTACATTGCATCTTCACAGGCAGTTTTGTGTCTGCATGCCCTTGTCACAGCGTTTGTGTGCCTGGAGTGAACCCCTCAATATTCACTCTTTGCTCCTCTGACCTGGATAGGTGTTGAACTGCGTCATCAGTTGAAACACAGCAGAGAGCCTCTGTCTGCTTCTGCTGCGCACAACGCCGGAAATCTGCAAGGCAACTATGAGGCCGTAGGCATGTACGTAGCTGAATTGAAGTTGGAAGACAAAGTTCAGGATGTTCTGCTCAAAGTGATACTGTTCCTGTGGTTGAAACACAGCCGAGAGCTTCTGTCCACTTCTGCTGCGCATGGCGCAGGAAATCTGGAAGGCAAAAGCAAGGATGTAGGTGTGTTCGTTGCTGAACTGAAGTCGGAAGACACAATTCAAGATGTTCAGCGCACAGTGCTGCTGTTCTTCCCCCAACCAGGGAAGAGAGACTGATTCTGTGTTTCTGTCCATGGCTATCTGTGTATCGTGTATCAGCAAAAAAGAGTTGCAGCTTCAGAGAGAGGGAGATGATCTCAGAGCATCATTTGATATATTTGTCCAAACACCTGCTTTTATACCTTAAGCTCCACCCTCTTACAAGGTAAAAAAAAAATCCTTCCTCTAGTGGGAGGAGTTTTACCTCATACACAGATAGCCAGGGACAGAAACAGAGGATCAGTCTCTCTGCCCTGGTTGGGGGAGGAGAAGTCCTATTGGGTCCGAAAAGGGTTCTCTACAAAGAATGTAATTTTTTCATGGCATTCTGTGTAGAAAACTCCAAATAGGTCAAGCACGCGCGTGTTACAAGCTTGTTATGAGCTCATAACAAAAGCAGAAGCGTCGTGCGCAGCAGAAACGGACATAGGCAGAATCGTCTGCCTATCAGCTCATAACAAGCGCGTGCTTGTAGGAATTCTCTACACAGAATGCCATGAAAAAAATTACATTCTGTGTAGAGAACTCCAAATGGGTCAAAATCGTGCGTGTTCCAAGCACGTGCTTGTTATGCGCTCATAATATAAGCAGAACCGTCTTGCACAGCAAAAACGGACATAGTCAGAATCGTCTGCCTATGCGCTCATAACAAGCGCGTGCTTGTAGGAGTTCTCTACACAGAATGCCATGAAAAACTTACATTCTGTGTTGAGAACTCCTATTACAAGCACGTGCTCGTTATGAGCTGATAGGCAGACGATTCTGCCTATGTCCGTTTCTGCTTCACATGACACTTCTGCTTCTGTTAGTAGCTCATAGAAAGCATGCGCTTGTGACAAGCGTGTGCTTGACCCAATTGGAGTTCTCTACACAGAATGCCATGGAAAACTGGCATTCTGTGTTGAGAACTCCTATTACAAGCACGCGCTTGTTATAAGCGCATAGGCAGACGATTCTGCCTACGTCCGTTTGTGCTGCGTGCATACGACGGTTCTGTTTATATTATGAGCACATAACAAGCACTCGCTCGTAAAACGAGCGTTTTTGACCCATTTGGAGTTCTCTACAAAGAATGTAATTTTTTCATGGCATTCTGTGTAGAGAACTCCAAATGGCTCAAGCACGCGCTTGGAGTTCTCTACACAGAATGCCATGAAAAAATGGCATTCTGTGTAGAGAACTATTACAAGCACGACTAACAAGCGCGTGCTTGTAATATGAGTTCTCTACACAGAATGTAAGTTTTTCATGGCATTCTGTGTAGAGAACTCCAATTGAGTCAAGCACGCGCTTGTTATGCGCTCGTAATATAAGCAGAACCGTCGTGCGCAGCAAAAACTGACGTAGGCAGAATCGTCTCCCTATGCGCTCATAACAAGCACGTGCTTGTAATAGGAGTTCTCTACAAAGAATGCCATTTTCGCATGGCATTCTGTGTAGAGAACTCCAAGCGCGTGCTTGAGCCATTTGGAGTTCTCTACACAGAATGTCATGAAAAAATTACATTCTGTGTAGAGACCTATTACAAGCACGTGCTCATTATGAGCTCATAGGCAGACGATTCTGTCTATAACCGTTTCTGCTTCGCTCCACGCTTCTGCTTATGTTAGTAGCTCATAACAAGCATTTTCTTGTTTCAAGCACGCGCTTGTGACAAGCGCATGTTTGACCCAATAGGAGTTTTCTACACAGAATGCCATGAAAAAATTGTATTCTGTGTAGAGAACTCCTATTACAAGCACGTGCTTGCTTCAAGCGCGTCTGCCTATGAGCTTATAACAAGCATGCGCTTGTTACAAGCACGCATAACAAGCGCGTGCTTGTAATAGGAGTTCTCTACAGAGAATGCCATTTTTTCATGGCATTCTTCGGTTCTCTACACATAATGTAATTCTTTCATGGCATTTTGTGTACAGAACTCCAATTGCGTGAAGCACACGCTTGTCACAAGCGCGTGCTTGTTATGAGCTCATAACATAAGCAGAAGAGT